GACTGCCTTTGACTCCCGGTCGGCGCCGCGATGACCCCCTTCCCCGCCCCACCGGCCGTAGTAGCAGCGGCGTCGGGGCTAGAGCTGGACGTGAAGAGGAAGCGGAGGAGGAGCGCCGCCTTGGTGAAGGTTTTTCCGGACCCGACGGGAGGCTCGAGGCCGTACCACTGCTCCACTGGCTCGTTCTGCGGCAGGCGGGACACCGGAATGAGGAGCTCGCCGACGACCTCGTCCTCGGCGCCCTCGCGGAGAGGCTGCTTGACAACAGCAGTGGCATCAGCAGCGGCAGCAGCATCCGGAAGAGGAGCGAGAGTTTGTTGAGTGTTGTTGGTTGGAAATACGCAAGAGGCGGCGGCGAGCCCGCGGCTGTGGGCTGTCGTAACCGTTTCTTGTAACAATGATCATCATGACACGCCAACAAGGCGGGGATGTGCAAGCAAACACAACTACCAACAAGAGGCATTGGAAAAAACTTGATGCGAACGAGTAGAGGTATGTATACGTACCGCATCCGAAGCCGTGCCCACAGAAAAAACACGACCCAAAAACAACCCCCCTTTCACCCGCACCCTAAATCAAGAGCCGAACCGAAACATTTTTTGAGCCATCCTTGGCAAAGTACAGTAGGAAGGACGGATTGGCCATCCTCGGTGATCAATTCCGTGGAAACAATGCCCCGCCCTCTCTCGAGGACGCGTGGTCAACGGCCTCACCGCTACGACGGGCATGCAAAACATAAGAGTTTGCCCCCCCCAACCCCCACCTTATCAATGCAGACGATTCGCACGGCAACCTCTCCGGACACTCTCCCGAAGAAAAACTCCTCGTCCCAGCTAGCGCCCCCGTCCGCGTCCCCGTGGCTGACGAACTTCGAGCTAGTCCTCGCCGCATCGGGCTTGGGGGTGCGCCGAACCACCTCCCCCCTTCCCTCGGCCCCGCCACTCCTCACGGCTCCCGTGCCTCGCGGCCCTCCTTCTCTTGCCGCTCCCGCTGCTGCTGCTGCCGGGAGGGAAGACTCCGAGCTTGCGCGGCCGAAGCCTTCTTCGCCGGACGATACCGAGAACGAGCCCCGGTTTGGTTCACCGGTGATGGAGCGCTGTTGTTCCGGAAGGGGGTTGGGTGCGGGTGCAAATAATCAGCGCAAGACTTACGCAGCCGTACGGTGGTTGACGGCAACAGCGGCGGAATTTAAAAGCATGTGCGTGCTTGATTGTCAGGCAGCGGTCAGAATCGATGGCAAGGTATCCGCTTGCACAAGCCTCGACAGCTGTTGACTTGAGAACACTAAATCCCGGGGAAGGGTGTCGTCACCGCCGACGGAACCAAAGCCAAACAACACCATACCGCCGCCTCTCTCTCCCTCCCCCCCAACAAAATCATCCTACACCTGCTCTTCCCGACACGCTCACCAGCTCAACTTCAGAACGGATCACCGCCGCACACGACCAAGCAGTAGCCTTGGCGAGGATATCAAGCTTGGTTTTTGTAGAGGGTACGGGTTAGGTTTGGGGATTACGGTTAGAGATAGGGATACGAACCCCCACCCCCTCCTCTATTTCACAGAATACAACCAAACGGCCATGCCCCCCCCCCCCCGGTGATGCGAGAGCCTGGTCCGGTGAGAACCCGGCGTGCTCCGCCCCGGCTTCGCAGGGATGCAAGGCCAACCGTCTGACGACTATTGCACGGCTTTGAGCCCCCCCCTCCGCCCCCCCTCGGTGTTTGCCATCGGGATTGGGTTTTCGTCGCTTGGCAACGACGTTGTAAAACAAGCCAATTCACTTCGTGAACTCGGCAACCAGGTTACCGTTTTTTTTTTTT